CCCCAAAACCCCAAAACCCCAAAACCCCAAAACCCCATGGTTTCAGTCACAAATTGAACTTCATTTACATTAATGGAACCCGTTGATGAGAGTAGTTTCCCAGCTGGAGACCAAGACAGCTGGTATTTGGACCAACTTGAGAATATTATTTTCAAAGCAGAGACCATCTACGCCCGGAGGTGGTTTAATGTGTTTCATATCAAGCATACGCACCACATGTTGAATGCAACTAGCACAGGATCTTGGGGTATTGGAGGAATGAATTCATTACTACAAAGAGACAAAAGAGTCTTAATTGAACACATCAGGTTAAGACAACCTATACAAAAAATTTCTTCTTTCTATATTATGTTTTGCCCTGACAAATTTTTTTCAAAACTGCTGTTTAAATTTTTTAAAGTAAAGTGAATGACTAACAATTTAGAGTTCTAATTGAATAAGAAAGCTAACGAGCTTGTTTGTATGTCAAATACACTGGACCTTTCACATCAGACATGATAAGATAATAAAGAATATTTGTACAAACCTGTGGAAAGTTACCTGTGATTTGGGATTTCAATATTTCAACATTGGGCCAACTCATATCAGAAAACTTATGACTTCAGGCAAACATCTTGCCAAGATTTCATTTAACTATTGCTGCATTGCCGACCAAGAGTGGGGACCTACTTTCAACAATTATGACCCAACTATCAGGCTCAGAATAATGGAGTTTACTCAATGTTTCCCTGCCAGAGTTCAGAGAGATGGAAGATGTGAACTCTACACAAATATAATTAGCGGGATAGTTGGCTCTAAATTTCGTGATACCCTTAAAGTCAGAATAAGCTGGCTTGATGGAGGATATATGTACAATGACCATTGCCATCCTAACAATCAAACTATGGACTATGACCCGCCTTATTGTCAGATATTTCCCCCAACGCTCCTATCCTAAGGTTCTAATTCAATCTTCCCAACCAACATTGGGGTTTTGGGGTTTTGGGGTTTTGGGGTTTTGGGG